ATATTTTATGTTTTAAGATGGGGATTCGTTAAATTAGACATAACGAAAATTCTAATTGTTCCGGAACTATGCTAAATAATTTAAACATGCTAAATTGTTCCGAAACTACTTTTCAAACATGCTAAATAATACTCCATTTGACTAAATAATATTATTTAGCATGTTTGAAAAGTCTTCCTAAACTGAAAAGATGTGGAAGTCATTTGACTCAATGGTTGATCAAATTTTAACTAACTAGATTTTTGTCTATTAGAATATTTGAAAATAAAAATTTATTTTTATAAAATACGGAAAAAATTAAAATAAAAAATCAAATGGTATATCTCCCATATATATAAATATATTTTATCTTACAAAATTGAATTTGTATGACACTTAGATTGAATGTAAACGTTTTAATGTAAATCGAATACGTTTGAAATTATGGTTCTCTCAAACTTATTTGAGCTCATCAAAGCAAAAAAATATCGTGTTAGTATGTAAATCTTTTTAGATAAGAAAATTAAAACAATAATAAAAAGTGAAAATGATGATTTTCGAAATCCAACCATTAATGTTTGATTTGTAAGTTGTATGTTTATAACAAAAGCGTAATTTTAATTAGAGTAATATAGATAAAATTAAATGATATAAAAAAAAATGTATGATCAATCACATATAGTATCCAAATGGACATAATACAATTTTTATAAAGTACTTAACATCGGTAAATGATTCATCGTTAAAACAATATGTTATATAACGTTTAAATATTAAAATATTATATTTTAGTTGGTCTAAATTAGTAACATATGTATTTGTGAGATCATGTTAAAAAACTAATGTAAATATATTATGTAGAGATTTCAAATATGACATATAAAATTAATTAGAATGTTTTGATTGATTAATTTAATTGATGTGTCCCTTAAAATCATCATTGAGTGCCACATAAGATTTTTTCATTTAGTGTCATTCTCAATTAATATATAGAGGATGATTTTACACCATGAAGTTTGAGGTTCGAATCTGAAAAATTACGATTTATTATCATTCATGTTAGTTTATAATTATATATGTAACTTCATATGAAACAAAACAGAAAAAGCTCAATCTTTACCCCAAAATAATCTAACCATATGCTACATTATAATCTCAATCTTGGAATATATATACCAACATTTAGTATACCAGGACAAATACAAAAAGTCTAGCAATAAACCACCTGGTTTGTGTAAACGAGTCCTGATTTTAGCTTTGTGTTGTTGATGATCTTGTTTCGGTTCACCAAACAACCCTAATTTAAATTCAGTTCAGCCAAAAGGAGAAAACGGAACTGAAATAAACAACCTGACTCTAGAGTTTTCTTTTCTCTTCGGATGTTCATATTTGCTTCTTTTCTTTATCCGCCGACCCGAAATGACTGGACAAAGTCCATTGCGTATAGTTGGTGTGAAGGGCAAACATAACAAAGTATGAGAAACAAAGAATCATGATCAGTGCTTCAAATAAGAAAGGGTACTTTTGAGGAGGTTGAATGGTGAGGTAAAGGACATGAAGAACTAAGGAGATGAAAAAATGGGTTTTAAGTAGGAAAACATAACCCGGGATGTTTGTAAAGGAGAACAACGAAGCTTTAGTTTTCTGTATCACATGGTGATGCCCGGGTGAATGATAGATGACGACAAAGAGCGAAGATAGTGCTAAGTAAGGAAGCAAGAGTTTGTCACGGCAAAGAAGAGGGAACATCGAGAAGAGAGCATAATAGGTTAAATGATTGAAATGGTCAGGGATTTTGAGAGCTAATAGTGTTGCAGAGAGAAAAGGCATCAGGATTGATTTCTCATGCACTGCATATTGAAACGCAACAGGAAAAAAGGATGTTAGATACTAATGGATGGCATAAATGGGAAAATACGTTGTGGACATTGAAGATCGATTTGAAACATATATACCTTGGAAGGAAAATAAGTAGAAAGCCATGGAACTGTTGAGCAAGCCATATAGGAAACCTTCATTGCTCGGTGACAAGATTTGCTGAACCATTGAAGGGAGAGAAGCCAATACAGTTGCAGCTAAGCTCAAAGACTTGAGGGATTGTGTTGTGAATAGTTTTTTCCATTTTATGAGAATGGAAGTGGTGCACCAGAAATTTGCTACGTAATCCTCGTATATTCCCCTCTCAAATGGAGCAAGACGGGAGAGAACCTGCATCACCAGTAATTTTCTTCACATTCATTAGCAAGAAAATGAATACGAACAATCAACCATGAGCAATTTACATCAGAGGAGGAAACAAGAAGCAACAATTTCTTAGTTCTACCAGAGAAAATAGTTTAAGACAAATGGTACGTTTTTCTTTCTTGAGAAATTATCAAATATGTATTTACCATTAAGAAATCATCCAATGAACGCAAATATGGCCACCACACAATAACAAATGTCAGTATGACTGCGATTCCCAGCTTTAGCACAGCAAGTATTGGGCTTTTCCGTCTTAGGCATTTACCAAGTAGATGGCTGAAAAAGGCAGGAGCAAAGTACGCACTCATCTGC